TTATCGAGCGTTCATTATATCGAGCGTTCTCGTTATAACGAAAGCCATTGTTATAACTGATTTGGGCCCAGGAAAAAAGCATCATATTAGCGAACATCATATTATCGAGGGATCATTATATCGAGAGCCACTGTGTACTTGTTCACTGAGAAAGATCATGTTTAAGAATAAAGTAAAGGCATTTGTAATTTAATATGTTTGCTAAGAATAAGAGTTAATAATGTTGTGTCAACATTATTACTTATGGTAAAACGGGGTGAGTCTTTTCGTCAGCTTGTTATGTAGTGGTTTCACTATATATTCCCTCGTGGCAAATATTTGATAACTTTCTTGACCAACATAAAGGCTACCGATGGTGTTAAGTGAAAGGGATATATTACTATCTCTAGTGAATGTTTTAGTAGAACCGTTGTTAATAAACTAGATCAGAATTTCTGTGGGGGCTTTGCCCCTTGTTAATGTCAGAACGTGGTTTGTTGTTGAAAGTGCTGAGGCGATGTAGTTTATGATTGTGAATAATATTTATTTATTTTGTTTCATACTAAGTTATATGTATATTTATCTTTATTGATTAAAATGTGTTAATCAGTAAAAAAATTTTCAATATATAAAAAAGCGTGTGGCATATATAGTAGTTAAACTTCTTTGTGTGGGGGTAAGTTTAGCTTTGTGATGCTAAGCTTGCAATTTTGTTCGATCGACTCGAATGTAATTGTCTGTTCTGAGGCTTTATAAAATACATACATGCATGGAAAGGAGATTTGTGTCACCATTATCAGTATTGTGAACCCACTTACTTTCGGCCATGGATAGAGTAATGAACAAAGTTGGTAAACCTTTTGTGCTTACCACAGTATTTAAATGATGTTCTTTTTCTCTAAAGTAGGAATCACCAGTACGAATAAAAGTAGGCAAAGGCATTGATTTTTGTTCATCTACTATTATTTCATTGGTATACTGACTTTTACGTAACCATTGTATGGCAGAAAGGGAAGAGTGCGTAAGATTAGTATGTTGACGATATATGCGTGCAGTATTTTGAAAATTTTGCAACTTTTCTAGTTGCATATATGACTACATCATCCACACAGGATGAGGGAGTCATACCCCATCAATTTATATTTAATATGTTTGCCGTATGTCATGGGTTTAGTATTAGAATTCAACCGATTGCGTATGTCGCCCAAAAATCCACGACCATCTGGAAATAAATCAGGGAATAAAACGGCCTCTAGTTCAGGATCATTAAAGCGAAGTGGTATTTGACGTTCATTTTCTCCCTGGAAAAATTCTATAGCGTAATGATTTAATTGGTTAATGTATTACTCTCGGTGCTAGTATTACAATGTAATGACGAAATATTAAAATTTAGTCTTTTTTGTTGCGTTCTTATGACACGCTGTTATCAAAACCAACTCGTTTGCGTTTTTGCTTGGTTTTGATGTCAGCAAGATGCATGATGAAAATATATTTATTGCAAAGTAATGACGAAATATTAAAGTTTAGTCTCTTTGTTATGTATTTATGATGACATACTGTTATTTATGGCAACGTAACCCCCGGCCCCAAACGAACATGTCAAACCATCCAATAACGAAATATTAAAGTTTAGTCTATTTTGTTATGTATATATGAATGACTACTGTTATCAAGACCAACTCGTCGTAGGTTGGCATAAGTTTGACGTTGATGTCAGCAAGACGCATGGGAACAATAATAAAAGAATGACGGAATTATGATAGAAAATATAAGATAATGAGAAGAAAAGTGTTTGCTATAAAAATACCCTTCTAAGCTTGGGTGGTGGGTGGGTAAAAGTTACTCAGAGAATTGCTATAAACGTGTATTTGAAAGTTAGCGGAAAAATACGAACAACTTAACAGGCGAATAAACATAAGAGAAAAATCAAAGCAGTTAGCAATATGCACAGGTAATGGCGATGGAAATGTACTTTATGTGAACATAACCGTTTATTTTTGTGCTATTATGTATAGATAAACAAAAGCATAAACGTAACTCAACACGAAAATGTAAACAATTTGACATGGGAAAAGATCATGAATTAAATGAGTTTGAACGTGGTCGAATTATTGGTTTACAAATTGGCTGAAAAGTCCAATAAACAATAAATTTACAGCTTATCAGTTATATTCTAAAAGTTTCAAAAAGCACTGTTACAATTACATGTACATTTAATTTGTTTAACATAACATCAACTCTTTATGAACTTGAAAAAGTACTACTAGAAGAATAGAGAAAAATTCCACCTAAAACTTGTACTAGACTTATAGAAAGTATGCTACTAGAATTGAAGCATGCATTAGGAATTGATGGCCTACAGAGTCTATGGTTATGTTGTCAATTTTTATTATGCTATATCACCGTTTACTGTTTGCTATTCATTATTTGCTATTTGCTATGTATGTTGTAATCATTTGCATCACCCTGGATTTATATATGGTACGCAATTTATATACAGTCACATCTGTCTATTTGCATACTGTTGGGACCGATAGATTTTTATGCAAATAGACAGAATATGCAAATACACGTTATCACATGATCGTTGATACTAATCACATAATCAGATTACTCAAAATTTTTTTATGCACTCGTAAAATATCATTTTACAATGAAAAAAGCAATGACTTTCGAGATAGAGAGACATATTACCGCCTTAAGGTATTTAATATTCCAACTTTAACGTTAAATATTTCATTATTATATTATTGTTTTTGCCATTATTGTTTAGATACAGAAACCCTATGAGAACGGAAGATTTCTTGAACCCTGTTGAAGAACGTGAAATAGAACTTGTGGATGAGGAAACAATAATTCAATTACTCCAAGAAGGCGGATGAGGGAGAAGATAATGAGGGAAATGAGGAGGGAAATGAGTTGCCAGTTGTTTTTGCTAAGCGTTAGATATTTTTATTCGGAGTCTCTGACATTAGTAATTTCTTACGCCCAATATAATAAAATTTAAATCGATCTTGTTGATCTCTCCTTTTATAGTATGCATATCACGTTTACGTTATGCAAATAGCTAATAGGTCCCACTAAGGGGGTGCGACTGTATATCATTTGCGTAACCATATACTTTGTGATCGGTGACCCCAAATCTGATTGTTGATACGATGATAATTTCTTTCAACTTTCAGATCATACTTTTATTCTTCATTCTTCGCCCTCTCTAGATATAGCAACCTGATTGTTATTAATAAAGCTATTGTGACGACTGTTATAAGTTGATAATACAAACGTCAATAATGATACATTGATAATGATTAAATCTGCTTCATCTTCTCAGTAAGTATTGTCTGATGCTTTAAAGAAAAACAATGACAATATGTGGAGGTTGATTTATTTCTTTGATGTGTGTTAAGTGAGATAACTCTGGCAAGGACGAATTACTTTGCTGTATATTTATGCATTAAAGATAATGATGACATTATCGAATTATAGGGTCACCTGAAAATAATCAGCAAAAGATGACTCCCGCGAGAAAATTGTGAAAACACGGATGAAAAGTTTGCTTGTTTATTATTACATTAGTCTCAGAACGTCTGACTATCCCGTGTACATGCTTTGTATATTATTTCTAAAGAAATGCCTTGGTTGAAAGGAGGTTTCCGTAATTCCTCGCCTCGTTGTGTGATGTCAATCTACAGTCTTTTCCCAAAACTAACCTTGAATATATAATAAATTGTATTTCAATTGTAACATTAACTAACACTGAGCCATGTTAAAATTATTAAAGGTATGACCTATTATTTGTTATTATTATTATAAGCATGAGTCTTTAGTGTTAATAATCTGTTGCAACGCGTTGAAGGAATCCTTCTGTGAAAGCTCAATCCGTTAATTTGTCCAGCAGATTTATCTTTAGGTTTGCATTAATAGAAGTTTTCTTTAAAGAAAAGATTTCCACAAATTACATGTCATTCCTTAAACGTTGGCGCTACATGTTTTATTTGAAATTTAATTATTAGCTAAAAATTGTGTTAAGCTGCTTTGTTTCATTGAGTTTACTTTTTTTTCCATGAGCAAAATTCCAATTAGCTTTAACCAAGTTGACATATTCTTTGAGTGTAGTGTTTGTCGATTATCGCGGGCATATTGGCAGAGATCAAATTTTTGCTTATCTGTCAGTGTGCTTTGCTAGATAGATTGTTGCATTTTTTCTCTTTTTCTTTCTTCACTATCCATCATTTTTATTTACAATCCGACAACATTTACAGAGTTATTGTGAGCTGAGACAAAAGGAGTGAATAAACTATAAACAATAATATGTTGCGCAAAACCTAATTGTTGATTTCAAACTTATTATTCTTGTATAATGAAACACAATCCACGATATATAATTTTAACATTGTGTTTAATGTAATATTCTCGTTACACGGTCATATGTATAAACCACGTGATTTTCATTTAGAGAGATATCTATATAGGTAGGGTTCGCAATTGCAGAAAATAGAGGTTGCATTTAGATAATAGGTCCCATAGTCCACGTAACAATGTTAAGGTCCATTATTTCAACATTCCGTGGATTTCACTATGCATTTGGCATGAGAAATAAACGTTTTTGACGAAGCAATTTCGCTCATACGTATAACTAGAATAATATAAAATGAGTCATCTTTATACCGTGACAGAATTTTGATTAGCTTTTTAGCGCTGTGCTACTATTACATGAATACTCATTTTAGCATTTGATTATTAATTAATGTCTATTGTCGTTTGTGTTATTATGTTTATTGATTTTTGAACTAATGTAATGACCTAGTGCGTTAATAAAATTGCTGTTGTAGAAAGGAACAAATTCCGCAGCATCGCTGCTCTTACAATCGGTAGTTCATACTACCATCGCCTTCGCTATTGTTAACATGCACATCTGATAGTTTTCGTATGTTTAACAAGTTCCTCAAAGATAAACTGCTCCTATTAATGAAGATATTCATTAATAGTAATTTGTTTAGCGCACTCGTAATTGTTATTGTTCAAGCATTCGATCAAAATTTTAAACCCGTCATAATAATTATTATTATTCGTTGTCTGTTCCTTTATTAGTTTTCTCTGTAACATCTAATATAAAATATTTAAGTCGGGAAAGTTATAGACGATTTTTGAAAAATTTTAAACAAGAAACCTTATTCTGTTATAATATATACGTTTAATGGGAAAATATTTGTAGTTTATAGCTTCAAACAAGATAAAAACTGAAACAGTATAATGTACTGCAGACCCTCATTAAACGTATTATTTATTCTTGTATATGAATGTTGGTTTTATTATAAATTGAGTGCGAAGCAAACGGTTATCTCATATACAAATTTGCTGTACATTCAGTAACGTGCACATACCCCTCTGTTGACCATTTAATATAAACACTTATTATTACCTTGTAGTGACTATTATCAATAATTTAAATCCAGGCGATCTAAACAGAAATAAGGGCTCACCGATTGCCAGCATAATCAACATTTCTTATGACAGCAAGATAATAATCACTAATTTTAGATTATAGCTAGTGAAATTATAGAAAGCTATATTAACGTGGACAAGTTCAAATAAACGCAATATTCAACCGCTTTTCCTTCTTACTGAATTTCGAGCAACTTTATCTATTGAGTAGTAATTACTGAATACTTAATTACTAAATATTTGCTAACTAAATAATTTGTGAGCTTTATTACTTGCTTTGTTAACAAGCAAACTTATATTTTGTACCCTCTATACAATTCTCTGTTATTATTATTATTATTTATAGTAAACCAGGGCATGGTTTATGTGTTTGTATTAATAATATTAGCTATTTCGGGTAAAATTGCTATAGTTCTGTAGTTAAGTATAATAACGCATTGAATAATCTTAAAATTGGTGGGCACTACACAATATACAACTATGTCAGTTTTGAATGCTAAATTATATCAAATTATACTCGAAAAAATTTTATAACAGGAACTTAAAGTTGTCCCATTTTCACATAATTATAAAAAACACCTGCCCGGGTTTCGTCGTTTATTTAATAAATTCAAAATTGACAAACAACAAGTGGATGACATTTAAAACTACATTAAAATTATGCTTTCAAGCAAGTCATATTCTACTTAGACAAGTTGATTTACAATTACGCCTAACTTCAAGGACTATGTAACAGCACAACTTCTCAAAAAGATACTGCCTTTCATCTACTTCGGAAAGTATATACCATGCCAATAGAATTTAAGCTGATCTAATGCGCAACACACTTGTAAAAGCTGTTACCCCAGAAAAGGTCTATTTTTGCATGGTAGTGCTTTCAATCCATCTTACCTTATCCGCATTGAATGAAGGAAAACTATCTCTTTCTAATGTATGTATATTCTTATATTGTTTAAGGTGAAGAAATAACTGTATTATTTGTTGTTATAAATTTAACATTTAAATATCAAACAATAAATTTATTTCATTATAATTTGTCATCAAAACTTTTAATGCTTTGCTTATTATTAAAAGTAATCTATTCCAGTAATTATCCAATTGTGCAATAAAGTATTATATTCAATATTAGCGATAGATGTTTACACAATAGTTCTCAACTGATACAGTCCTGAACTCATGTCAGTTTGGAACCTGTCTCAATTCAGGACTGGTTCTCAACCGAGACACAATATCGAGAAGTATATTGTTGTCTTCATTTAAGAAATTGTTGTGTCTGAGTTTAGGACCTGTTTCAGTTCCGAACCCAGACACTCAGTCAGGTCTCCAACTAGGTTACATCAATAAATAAGCCTCGTATCAAGAGATTAAGGAAAATGTTTATTAATACGAGGTCAGCTAAGAAGGATTAAATGTCTAGCTCTGAAGCCTTAATAATTTTCGTTAATAAAAACAAAGCGACAACAACGGTAATTTTTCGAAAGTCATTTAACTATCCTTATTTGATCTTTTTATTATTCTTACGACAAGAGTTAATTATATGGACACGGGTCAATTCGCATTAAAAGAGATCAAACGTAACAATGTGAAAATATCGTGACTTTAATGTGATAGAGCATTTGTTAGGATGTATGTTATTATATTAATGTATGTCAATTTGCTTACTTTGTACACCATAGTGATCGAATTGGCTCACTACTCCCATATTTGATTCGATTTATCTCTGATAACCGATCGAATTTTTTTTTAAGTAACTGGTCTTACGTTGTTTTTTTTTCTTGGAGCTTTTCACGACCATCTTCGTGTTTTTTCTTTCTTCTGCATCTTCGTTTTCTTAGGCATACAACTTATCCTGAAGTAATATTGGCCGGATTTCAAATAATCAAATCGGATTGACTAGATACAGCTTATTACATAATTATAGAATAATCAAGGATAGCTGTATGTATATATGTGTGTATATATATATGTATATAACATGGCATAACATCTAACAGCCCCCGCGCTCTGTCAATTGAGTAGTCTCTGTAATGACATTTGAGTACGAATATTAGCTGCTAGACGTTTCTTTCTTTTTAATTCATTATACCAATAATTTTTGACTGTGAGGCCTGTACGCCCGCGAAGCCTCTTTGCAATTCGAGCCCATTCTGGCCCATATATTCCATGGAGACGACATATAGCTAGCTTTTCTAGTTTACTAAGAGGCTCTTTTACAACTACATTCATAAGAAGAGGAAAAAGAAGAGAGAAAATAATGTTAATTAGAAACGACCAATCGGATGGTTTTGATAGCAGACGATCATAAAAAGCACTTAACTGTTTGGTCTCAAATGATAATTATATCTGCTCATGTTATATGTATTATTAAGGAAATTAATATTAATCTTTAACGTCACACAAGCATTCGCGATCATCATTTAAGATTTCTATTCTTGTGCCACCATACATAGCGACCCTCACTCACCTCTCTTCACACTGTTTGCCACATCGTAAAGTTCCTAATTGTGTGGCTATTTTAGACCAACGTGGACCGAGCAAGTTGTATAATTCTCGTAAACGACGATCCTCCTAAAAAATTGACTGGGAATTAGAAATCAAGTTCAAAAAATCAAACGGTGGCGATCTCTCTATCGGCAATTACCAACAGATCAAAGGCAAAAAGACAATCTCATGCTAAGGTTATGGATCCATATTAATTGCTACAACTGATAAACCAAATAATAAGATCAATTTGACTTTCTCCCCCCTCTGCCTTCCCTCTCTGCCTTTCCCCCCTCCTTAACAAAAACGCCTTACCTGTTGAGTCCAAGGACTTCGCGGTCGTAATGTGAATCTTTCAATGGCCGCCTTGGCGTTATTGCCCGTCTCGTATAAAAATTCATAACCCTCCAACGCATTAACTGTCCCCTCCAAACTCTCTCCCAATCCTCCCCCTCCTTTTTTGGCATTATACTCTGATTCTCTGTTATATCCCATCCACCCATTTGTCATTTCAATCATGCGATTGCCAGCACCATCACCGACGTTAAAGTCGTACTGGCCATAAACGTTTCTTATTTGTGTCTTATTTCGATTTTTCTGATTTATCCCAGTTTGTTGTAATCCGTAATATGGTGGAGAATATGGTGGAGATGGGGGATACAAGAACGATTCTGGTGGGATTGGGTAATAATGCTGATAATGAAATTCGGGAGAAATGTTATTGTGAAAGGGGGGATATTGGTAATAAGAAGAAGAAGGCGAACCGTGAATTGGTGGTGAATGTGGACGATGAGGGGGAGAGCATTGCTCATATGAATTCGTTGAGCAGTAGATGCAATTGGTCAAGAGTTGCGAAGAAGATGATGTCATTATTTTTTTGTTGTTTATAATATGTATAAATTTAAATGTGTACAAGTCGGTTTTTGATAGGAAACGGATTTGATTTAACTGGAAAACCGAGCGATTAAAAAAAGAGAGGAATAGTAAGTTTACGCATTCAAAATTTGTGTAAAGTGGATGTGTTTTTCTTTTCTTTATGCACAACCACCGTGAATAACGCAAAAATTAGTCAATTGAAGTAAAACTTTTTTCGTTGGCAGGTATATTCGTAAAGACAGAGTAAAGGTGTCGGATGGCGAAAGGGAGAGGAAAGGGAAGTCGGAGAAAGAAAGGGTAATAGTAAGTTAGGGAAGGAATATGTGAATATGTGATTACAGAGACCACATAGGGTAGGTTAGTTAATTTTCTTTGTAATGCATGAATCAGTAACTTTTTATACTTCCTAACAAAGTAGTACATGCACAATGTGCCAAGATAAGATTTCGTATAGAGAATTGCATCCTTGCACGTGTGGGCGTTCATTCTTGTAAAAGAAAACATTCTAAATAAACAACAATTCATAAATAAGCATAACAATGTTATTAAATGTCAATAAAGCCCATCCAGTTGGAGATTTTGACAACAGCCCAAATTTCGGAATGTACTCGTTAATCTATCTGCCCTTATTACGTAAAACTTGTTCATATTCCTGTAACACTACAACGTACAATTCAATAGGGAGGTATAAAGAGATATGCTGTAAACCATGGGGGCTGTGGTCTAGTATAAATATTGATGTAATAATAGTATTTGAACGAACTTGGGAAGAAGACATATAGTGACGATGGCCACAATTATAAAACTTTCCTAATTTATCGTCGATTGATGCGGTCCTCCATAGTAAAGCTAAAGATATGGACGTGGCTGTGCGATTATGCATACACCGATAATAAATTCGAATAGATTTGATTATATATTGTTCTAAGCACGACGAGGGCGACGACGTTTGGACAAACTATGCGATATATATACGAGTGTATTATGTGCTTGATATACGGTATATGTGTTTGTACATACCCCTGTGACTGAACGAGGAAGCTTGATCTTTTATACATTAAGTAATATATGGGCATTCGATCTACGTTTGTTTATCATCCCCCATCAAGTCCAACATATAAATAGCAATGAGCGGGTCATTTTGTTTGTTTGGGCGTAATTACGTCAAATCAATGCTTGCCCCTATTTACAATTTGGGATATTCATTATTATTTATACAGACTGTCAAAAACGGGGTTTGTCTTTATCGATGTGAAGAAAAAAAAAACCTGGCTTTGCATATAACAATGGGTAAATCTTTCTAAATTAGGCGTGGCAGATTCCCTTTGTTTGCGCTTTAGATTTTCCAGTCTCGGTGGTGGAAAAAGAAATACTGGCAAATAGTTTACCCATAAAACATAAAGAGTTCCAGTCTGTGTATTTTTGTAATTTTGGATCGCTGCGAAAACCATTTTTATTTTTCGGCCGAGATAATTGCCCGAGTACTAGTAACTTGTAAAAACGAGGCTTTTACAGACAAACGGTGGGTAACACACTGCTTTCCTTAAAAGTACTATCTTATATACGCCGTATCTTATCTGCAGAGATGTCAGCAAAAAAACAGGTTTCGGTATGCACATTTGTCACGAGAAAGACGTGCAACTTAATTATTATTCCTACTGCCAATTTTATTGCTGCACTCGTACTCGCATGATTATGCTTTGAGCCAACCTGCATGTTTAGTCACCAAAACTGGTTTATCTTTTACATTTGCTCAAAGCATTGGATAAAAAAAAAACGAAGGAAAATCGGATACAAAAAAGTACAAGTCCAAACCGATTATAAAGTAATTGCTGTTGTATAGTATATAAATAATCGGGATGGGCGTCATGTCAACGATGTGGCCTGTTCAATAATTCTGCATGTTGGGCTACACAATTCTATATATAGAAATATAAATACATAAATAGGCTTATTTAACCGTTAATATGCATTTTACTACCGAGATCCAGTGTTGACTACTTGTTCGTTTACATGAGAATTTGTTCCCTTTATTTGAGAATTCGTTCATTTTAATTCGACTATTCAACCAAACCCGTCCATTGTTCGGTCACTATTACACTGTGATATAACATGTACTACTCTGTTTACAATTCTAGAAATTGGTAAACCAATACCACGTTACCACAAGAGCTATTAGACCGAAAATAAGATATTCTGGTTGTGTACCTTGTTTTTTCTTGCCATCTTTTTCACAAATGCAACGATCTTCAGGTCTCACATCTCGCATCACTGTTAAAAAAGAAGTAAAAGGGGTGTAAAATGTCACACATGTCAGAGAAAATGTTTAATTAGGAACTTGTAAAAAAAAGCATGTAACGATAATAACTATTAAGGCATGTTCAATAACGCTGATTTGTGATTCGCAGAAAACACCGAATATATGCAATATGCATGCAATGGTGGCTTATCTAATCTGAATATGCATGTACCTTGCTCGACATGTTTCCCGCACCCACGCCAAGTAATTTTCTGACAGTTGCTGCAAGTTACTTTCTGATAATTTAAGAGATAATCAAATTAACAACGCTTCATGCAGAGTGTGCGTTGCCGACATTCTTATAATTTATTTACCATACACATTTTGACAGGATAGGGATGTTGAAGCTATTTGTTTATTGTCTTTTTACCGTACTTGTGGTATTGTTCTTTTGTGGTTGTTGTTGTTGTTGTTGTTGTTGTTGTTGTTATGTGATTGTCAGTCAGCCTTTAGCCGCTGTCTAGCAAGCTCCTATTTGTACTTTTTCGAAAACCCATCCATGATTTGTAATCATTCGTGTGTAAAGCCGTTTATGGTTTCATCTCCGAAGCTCTCCGGCGTCCGCTGACCTTACCATCGCCAATCGAGCTATCGGCGTGGCCTGCCGAACCTTCCATGCATTGTCGGAGATGAATTAGCCCCATAAATGAGGTGATTTTATATCTACGAATGAAACATTGTCTGCTACCATTTTTATCCGACAAAGTGTCCATCATATCCGAATATGGCTTACTATATGAACATCTTATGACTAATAGAACATGTGATTACCGTACAAGCCCAGTATTATCATAAAAGTAGGTAGTTTTTCGACAAACAGTGATGGAAGTTTTCTTATAATCTAAAGTGTTTCTCAACTAGTGTTGTTACCCCCTGATCCATGGATTGGGCTGTGCTATCAGAAATTTCTGTAGCTTTTTGCTACCGTTTGATTTAATCTATATTTAGCAACTTGTGGTTATAACTAATGCACCTGGTCATACTAATACTAAATTTAAGTACGTATGACTAGGTCATACTAAATTTAAGTATGTACAACTAACTGGATTAAAAATAGCTCAATGTTACGAAAATAAAAGAGTTCAAATACTTCGATGCTAATTCCGTTTTGGCCGTTTTCTTTAAAATTGAATGGTTTGCAAAATATCGGCAGTGTTTCTTTTTGATCATAAAGTTGTCATAACGCTGATGATTGCTAGTTAGTGATGCTTTAATTTTGAAAACTAGAAAAGCACCAGCTTCTGAAATTACAATCTCTTCCTATTTTAGCGTAGCGCCAACACCTCCGACTCAAGAGTATCTTTGTAAAGATATTATGTAAAAACTGTTTGCGTCACCATAATAAGTTTTGGGTTGTGCGACCTTGGCAGGTAAATCCAATCCAAAACGCAATTCATACATATAGTTTGCGGCAGATCCCGAACGTTATACACATAATTTGTAGCGATTACATCCCCCAACATGAATATAATTTATTTACCCCTGACAAGAATGATAAAACGCTTTATTATATTACATTTGATCTTTCAATCATAGTACATAATTGTTTAATTATGACAATATACATCACAACTCTGTCTCGCTTTTCTACAACTGCATCGACTATCAAGGTGTGCATCCTTACACATACACATTGTCTGTCTATCCCAACTATGCTTTAATTTCTTGCAGCATCCCTTAATGTTATTTGTTGCGTAGGTATATTTTGTAATTCGGGAAAACCTGCTGTTTCCACCAAATTTAATTTGTTGGCGCCGTAAGTATTCCAGAAGCTCATCCCAATCGATATTTCTTTCTATAATCTTGCAAGGAAGTAGTGGGCGGTCCACAATGTGTCGACCAATCCGTGGAATTAAAAGTAGGGTTACAGATGGATTGATTTCTGATATAACGTTAACCAATTTATATATTAATTAATTAATTAATGTTACCAGAAATAAATAGTGTAAGTAAGAATACCTTCAATTTTATCATTACTTTCAATTCCAATAAATTCCTCTGCCAGTATCTCTTCCGTTATGTCAGATTTAAATAATATTACTCGATCCTTAAGTGGTGAATTCCAAAAACTAGTTTATATGAACTGAACTTATTCCAGTAGTCCTAGAAACTTTGCAATTCATCGTATATACTATACACTTGTCCAATTCATCTGTTGGTGTGTTTCCATCCACCTAGCGATTTGGTCTCCATGATATACCGTTACCCGTTCGATCATACCTTGTGATTGTGGGTGACGTGGTTGACCGTGGATAACTTTCAGATTCGGCATCACAGAGTTTTTCTGTTAGACCAGAAAATTTCCGCCCATTGTCACATTGAATTATTACCGGTCCAACATTAAAAATATGTCATAAAGAAAATTGGCCACATTCCAATGTCTTCTGTTCTGCTGCTCTCGCCCAACTAAATTTCGTAAAGTGGTCTCTCATGTGAATAATGTACCGATATTCGTTATCTTTTGCTTGCGCCATATCAATCGATCTATAATTATAATAGATATATTAATAAGTGTAAGTAACTTATTGGTCACGAAAATCACCTGAACGCGTTGGAGAAATCGATTGGCTATGATGGGCTTTCCTTCCGGTACTTTTTTGATTGACTTGGTGGAACAACTGACATGCTGCCTGACATACGTTCTGGGGGAGAGCAAAAATATTGTTGGTTGAGCAAAATTCCATATTGCGTTCTTCATTATGTACACGACAAAAAGTCGGGTACATTTCTTTTTGTATAAACGCGCACTTCCATTTTGATGTTTCCTCAACAATTTGGTTAAACTTTTCTTGCGAAAAAAAAAAAAAGTATTTTATGATAATATTTTATTGAAATAAAGCTTTCTTTTTTATGGGGTTTTCCTCCTGTGTGATATTTTCTTGATCTATTTATAACCATTACGGCTATTAGACTTGATGATGCTGTATAATTATAAACTTATTTTAAAATGACATACTGTATGTACAATAACTAAACATAATTTGTCGGCGAATGGTTGAATTACTATACATAGCAGATATCACACAATGATTATCATCATACAATCAGTCTTCAATAATGTCGACAAAGCTTTGATTAAAGCATCAAAGTAAATTACTATACATAGTAGATACTATACAATACTAGTTATCATACGATTTATTCTTTAATCACAGCGTATTGATCAGCTCTTCACGAATAGTCTTGACTAAAACATCAAAAAGCTGAATTATTGTATACAAAAAGTATCATTGGTCGATTTACTCTTTGGCAATGACAAAAGTTGGATCACTAATACAACACAATGTATCGTATGCATTCTTTAATTATTTGATAGAGACAGTCTATCAAACAATTAAATTATATATTCTGACAACACGAAAGAATACAAGAACGGCATAGATACTAAAGGGAATAAGAATAAGAATAAAAGTGTAATTAATACGAAATAAGCACGCTGAAAGAAAGCCCAGGCTTAGTATAATTTCAGATAATTAAATTGTAAATAAATCATCTGCCACACAAAAATTATGCATATAAATTACGTTCTGCAGCAACTTATACATATAAATCCGTAGATCTAAATAATTAAATTTTAGTACTCTTTAATTGGAAAAAGTTATGCCCCAATTTTTTAAAAATTAGTTTGTATTTGCAGGTAATAATAAACTCAAAGCATCATTCTTCATACTATCAAGGATACCACTATAAGAATTCTTGACCATTAAGATAAATTTCAATTAGTAACTTATTATTATAAGCTTAAACTGTCAACAAGTCTTGTTAATCACCTTGTCCAGCCTTGACTAAACGTTAACTATTCCGTAGTATTAGCTAAAAAAAATTTAGTAATTTAAGGTAATAAAAAATTGAGCTTCAAATAATATCTACAATAATTTTGCGAAGAAAACAATTAGATACTATTATTATTATGTTAGCTATTAAATTAAAAGCTTTTGATATTAGTAAGCTTGCTAAGGCTTTAAAAATTTAACTTTAACAGCCGGTGAACTGGTTGTAAGCAAACAGAGTTGAACTGTGAATTATCAATTACAATAAACTCAAAGAGATGTTATCATGTCATTATCTTAGTCCATGTATAGAGTTGTTGTAATTATGCTTCAAGAACTCAAATTTTGTCTCCACTATTAAAAAAAGAAGAGCGTAAATAATTTGTCCTGCAAATAATATTGGCTATGTGGTGCAGGCTTGTTATGCCTTGATTTACAGCTAAATGCTGCAACGGGCCAACTGCTCTGTGCCTATCAATAATTATAGCACTATTTTCTATACTACATTGTTCCTTTACAGCCATAAGCTCAGTTTCCAAATATCAATCTCAGGCTACTGGTAAATACTATTGGTGTATAGTTACGATAAAGAGGTCTTATTATTTCACCACTAATTAATACGTAGGAGTACAGCCTCTCAGACTTGCCATGTGAATAGTGTTATTTATCCGTTGTGCGTTTAGCGAAAAACCTCATACTATTAGCAGTTTTCCACTTATTGATATTGATTATTTGGTTGTTTTCTAACCTGTGACTAATAAATCGCTAGGATTAATCGCGTTCTTTTATAATAATATGACACAAGGTTGTACTATACTTCAAGTTCCAATCAGATCGCGTGTTCATTAAAAATATGCTGCGGTCTCGCCTTTAAATAGTTTGTTCATTGTTTACAATAACAGCGAGGCTAGCTATTGGCAAGATTGCAGCTTCGCCCTGACTTTAGACTTGGCTGAATTTTAATAAACAAAGTACCAATCAAAAATTGTTTTGACTGTTCCTACGGATACTGCTCTAATAAAGATTTGTGAATATTTTGATTTTTGATGCTTTCACTTTTGAATAGGAATATGTGTCGTTCAGCCGTTTTGAAACCCTGAAATATTTCCATGGCGTTATGTTCACTTTGGTTTTACTCATTATGATTATAATTAGGGATCCGCTATTATTACAAATAATATTGCATGATATGTTTTTGAATGGTTATCAGGTTCTCCAATAGGATAAGACAGTAATATCCAGATCCTTGATAGAATCGCAATAATTTGTTCGGGTACATTCTTTGCGCCTATGTTTGACAGTTGTTAATTTATCATGGAAGATGTCATCTCAACGATGCATAAAATAATTTACAATGTTTGAACTTTCTCACTTGCCAATATCGTTCGAAATGTCTGACCATTAAAGTTTAACGAATGCCATCAAATATGATAAAAAATACTTAATGCAAAAACAAAGAGTGAAAAAGATTAGGCGTGTATGACCAGGTCAACTGAAAACACCCCGAACAAAAGTATTGAACCGAACTGTACAACATCGCAGTTATAACTATACAATCTCCTTTCCCTACCAACGTTCAAATTCCCATCAATATTTTAACTACACATCACATAACTAACTGTTCACCAAACGCAACAATCCATAAGCAGCAGCAACAGGCGGCAACAACCAAGTCAATAACCAATACCACAACTTTGGTTTGATCTTGGCCATGATTTGATTCACCTGTCGTTCAGTCTCTGACAAGTCTCCCGAATTGTCAATTACATAGTCAGCAAATCGTACTTTTTCATTTATCGGCATCTGGGCTGCGATTCTTTCTCGGGCACTTTGCTCAGATAGACCATCTCGTTCCATCATGCGATTTATTTGTAACTGTTCAGAACTAGCAACAGAAAACGCACAAAACGTGTTAGCCCAATAACCATGAAAAAAATCAAATCAAATCAACCGCAATCAGACAAAGAAAAATACGCCATCTTACCAATACACTACAATGGTCGAACTCATATATGTGTGCAGCTTTCCCTCTATCAGCAAAGGAGCATCCAACACGACAAGGCTTTCTCCCTTTACCCAGTACCATACAACAAGCTTGAAAATCTCTCTTCTTATAAACGGGTGTACACATCGATTGAGCAACTTTCTCTTATTTTCATCTGGAAATATAACATTGCCCAACTTTGTTCTATCCAACGTGCCATCGCTAAGTAAAATGTTTTTGGAAAAGTTCTTGACTATCAGATCATAAGCTGGTTTCCCTGGTTCCACTACCTTGCGTGCCAAGTAATCGGCGTCGATGACTGGTATCCGGTGTCGCCGTATCATTTTAGAGACGGTCGACTTTCCTATTGAAGAGGGAGACGTGTTTGTTTGTAAGAATTACATATATTGTGAGCGGTCAAATGCGTTCTCATTACCAACCCGACGCAATGCCGCCTGTCAGTCCAATAACCTTCATCTTTTCTTTATCCTCGCAGAGGTCGCGATCTGACACTTTTATTCACCACCAAGCTAGCTATAAAGATAAAATCGTTTAATGAGGGAGGGGCCGGGTTTTTTGCCAAGTATCGTTAATGGATCGACAAAAGCGGAATCACGTGAAAATCAATTAACTAATATGACGTTGAGAAAAATAAAGTTGCATGCAGTCAGTTTGAATTCAGCAGGTATTTCTTAATTTTATTACTTTACATAAAAAAATACATATTCATATTTTCTTGGGTTCGCGGAGATGGGGTTGCGAATATTAGTTTACAAGTGTTGTCTAGTATAAGAATTGGATTAAATGCCAAAAAATTCATAGTCTATACTGGTGGTGTAGAGTATATAAAAGGGGGGAGGGCGATCAAATATTAATATACAGTGGAGAATAGAGTCTAACGTTCATAGAATTGGACATTATACGTTTTGGTCTTAAAAGCGGGTGTTACATATTGCACCATATCAAGGTTCTGTCCGGCTATTTCTTCTAATCTGTATCGGTGTAATAGTGTGGCAACTAGCAGCCGTATTTCTTGTAAAGCAAAACTATATTATATTGTAAGTTAGTAATTGGTCAATTGCAGTGACTTTAAAGTAACAAATTATTTCAACCAACTTACTTGTTGCCAATACAATTACGAGAACCTATACATCGGGGTTTAAAAAATGATTATATTAGCAAGGCTTACGCACTCTCGTTCGCTATCAATCAGGTAAACATTAGATTTTTAAATACCTGCGGAGAATGGATAGAATGCATCCTTGGGCAAATTTTCGGGATTCAACCACCGTTCTGGTATGAACTCCTCGACATCATCTCCCCAAAGGTCGGCTGAATGATGTAATTGATATATGTTGGCGGATACTTGAGTCTGCAGAAGTGTAATGGATTGTCAAGATTGGAATTTAGATAATTTGATCTATCTTTCACTTGCTCATTCCTCACATTTGCCCTCACTCTCAACCTCACTTTATCCCATATACATACGTTGGCTGGTATCACATATCCACATAGTACTATGTCTTCAACCGTTCTCTTGACAGGACCATTTGCTAGTAAAATAAATTAATCATAAATTGTTAATAAATAAATTGATTTCCGTAAAATATTCTGACTAGATGCTCATAATATCTGCTAAATAGTATGGCTTTTACAACTCACCAAGAGAAACGGGCCATAATCTCATTGTCTCGTTTATAACGGCATTTAGGTAAGGTAATTTTTTCAATATTTCGTGTGGAGGCAACTCATCTTTATCCAATCCTTCCAATGCCTTATCCAACTCTTCCAATAGTGTTGTCTTTTTTTCTGGGTGTTGAAGCAATAACATAATAATCATGGTAATGCTCCACCCCGTGGTGTCACTACCAGCGATCATGAATTCAACCACTTGGGCGATGAGTTCAAGATCGGTCAGACCTTGTCCCTCTGAGCTGCCTGCATCAAGCAAGAGTTGCAAAAGGTCTTGGCGCATTGCCGTGACATCTTTTCGACGTTCGCTTATCAACTTGTCCATGAACTATATGAGAAATGAGCATGGTCAAGTTAGCAAGATATGACATGACTACTAATTACTTCATCCATACTAGCAACCTCATAAACATAGGCGTTTCGGTGAGCGACAGACATTTCTCTGTTCACTAGCTTTCTGATACTAACCTCTTTCAGATACGTGGGATCTTTCACAAAGTAACTATACATTGGAACAACCGATCTCAAGGTTACGTGTCTCAACCTTCGATTCACTTCATCTGGTAATGGATTGTATCCAGTCTTGACCAATCCAAACGATCCTCCAAAAGCCGTCTCTCCTATAATATCCAATGTGGCATACTGAAGCATTTGATAGAGATTGAGAGTCGCTCCATTTTTCCTTGGAAAGTTGAGTATTCGGGAATCTATCGTCTCCACCAAATCATAGACACACGAATGCATAAGAGGTTCAAACGAAGCTATGGTTTTCATTCCAAAGGCATGGGACAAAAGTCGTCGCTTTTGGAAATTGAGAATGTAGAGAGAACGAGTAAGACTTTTTGGTTGAAAAAAAAGTAGATATTATGATTTCAATGGTTGCATTTTTACCCGTTGCCGATGGAAATTTCGATCACTAGATAATAAGGGGCAAATTATTATTGTTATTGATTTGCATCGAGATGTCTGATCAGCTGGGGAAATACTTACAGTGCTGTGAATAGGGTTGGAATATCTGGGCGAGCTCGAAATCGTAAATAAAGCGGACTCTTGGGTAGCTCCTAAAGGCACAGTTGTGTTAATCTATGAACTTTGGAATCAAACCCGATGATTGTCTTTTGACTGTATACCTTTGTTACAAGTATCTACAAGAACGACCAAATCAATTAAGTAAGCATTCGTATTATTGCTATTGCTCAACATCGTAATGCGTTCTTGCTATAACATTTACCTGTTTAATAGCGTCTCTATTGCCTACCAACACAAATCCATCGCCTAATTGACCAAAAATCATAAAATAGTTTACTCTCACACGCTTTCAATCGGCCATTCAGCCCCATTACCAATTACTTTACGTTGACTCTTGAAGAATCACAGTTTTACTCACCAATTTTTACAATGGGTCCATACGTTTTGTGGAGCGTCCGTGTCCACTTCCATACTGTTCCAGTTACTTGAAGATATGTTACTTTTATCGACGTGAAGAAGGAAAAGAGTGGTCCTGGAATGTGAGACAGATGGCCATGGAAATCGACATAAAGAGACTAGATAAGACAATAGTGGCAAGGCAGTTTTAGTATGTTTGTATTAAACGATGAGCTTGATCCATGAAACAGTAGCGTAAAGGTTACCTCAATGAATTTTTTGATTACGAACGAAACGATAACCAAAGCTAGAATACTTGGTATATTGAGAATAAACGACATTCCGTGCATGTCTTCTTTGTTACTCTTTTTGAATTCACGCCGGCGGTTTTATAGGATTGAGAACGGATGTTCTTTATCATTATCGATATAAGTGAACCTCTCATTGCGTATAGCGTTATCTACGTGCAGGTTGTTGATAAGAGAAGGCGCCACAAGGATCATACGATTATTATTTAGATTTGGCGTGAAACGATTAAGGTAAAGTTCCCCAACCAGATTAGATTCAGGATAAGATCATCAACTGTTTGAAAAAGGAAATATGTTAATTATACTGTAGATTATCGATTTGACACTGTTACGCTTAACGTTTCACTGCATATGTGGAAGTCACAGTGGTTACACGTTAATGTCTCGACATGTGTCTTTCGAGTATTATTTCACATTGAAGGGAAGTTGGCAATACCCAATAGTGAAGATTCTGGTTAGAAAGTCTTATCAAAGGCCAGTATTGACAAAATTCGCCGGGGCGAGCTGGGGAAGGGAAAGTATACTGTGTATATATACCATACCAGGATGTTGGATTTTTGTTCAATGTAAGCGGGATCGATAAGCATAAATTCAAATCTCCATCAGTTGACCAATAATGGGTCTGTGGAATCCAAATAACGATAGTTTGGTATCAGCTCAATCCGCCGCCTAGCACGCATTGGTCATGAGTATGTACTGGGAATGACAATGCATATCATAGAAGCAGGCCACCCGTTCAATCTAGTCGTTAACTCACTCCAGCAGAGCGTATATCCATCTTCACATATGCGAAAACGATCGAATAGACACACTAGACAATGGACGATTAAACCGTGCCGTCCCGATGAGCTTTACGCTGAATCAAGTCTGGCTAGACGCGCCTTCCGACTTGTTTTACTTCTTCATAACCAGTCTTTGTCCTCATCAACAACTACGCTCTCTATACATTCGCTTTACAAAGGAAAATACGTTCTATTGAAAGAAATACTTGTTATGAAAACAGAATGGAGATTGGTTGATGCAGACTGTGACCCATCAATAACCCCTTTTCACCATTACTGACTAAATTTGGAGAAAAAGCTGCCGAGACGTGTGTGTTCAAAGGAGACAACTCAAATAAAACTGTTCGAGCATATATGCCAAGCGGTGTCAAATGGAAAGGTGGGAATTACGTTCAATTACTCGTATAATGCTAGTTCGCGAGATTTCTCTGCTGCATATCGAACCTACAAGACAATATTGATTTCCTCCCTTCCCCTCCATCTCTTTCCATCTCCTTCCATCTCTGTACTATCGTCTACTTCATGAACATCGGATCGGGCATGCCTATACAGAGCGTATCTTGGACAGAAAGGTCTTTATGACAACCCGGGCTTCTGAAATCACTCGCTACAGCTATTTGAAACACTGCTCCTATCTATAGCATCCCCTCACATTGCTGATGATATAGATCAATAGCCGAAAACTACCGGAACAAGGGCAGTAACAAGAGGTACGTACATGTCCACAAGTTAGTAGGTGTGGAGAATTTTGTCTACACAGCAAAGCGCATGGTTTTTGTTCAGGGGTATTATAATATAATTAACCTTTGTTTTACTTGAATCTTCCAGTATGTTTAATGCACGATTCATGTGCGATAAAATAAACCGGTCAACCATTTCCGTGAGCCTGTGGCTTCGAGCTGTATTATATATAAGGTGTTCCGAAAAACCACCGGGAGCCTCAACAGCCACATTGAAGAACTTAATAAGTGAACGCTTGAAGCTAACCAATAAATATAATTTGTGTTGTGAGAAACTAGCCAATCCTTTTCATTTTCGATGCTCCATAACTGAGAATTTTGTGTCAATGGTGAACGATTGATTAATTTATTTTGGCGATCAATGTAAACTACACGTATTAAAGATGTAACCAATTCTTGTCTTCGTACCTGCAACTGAATCAAAATGATTTCCTCTGCATCTCGTATACCTCCCCCAACTCTAATTCTGAACTTGGCATGTTGAAATCTGGTATGGGAGGTAACTGATGAAAATCGCAGCTGTTTCTTGGTTTAGGCAAATCTCCCGTAGGTAAGAGTGTACTAGAATATTTACTCTCCTTCTCGAGACGTGATAAGGGTTTTACATCATTATGATAAACAGCATTCCACGTATTGTCATCGGAATTGTCCACCTTATCAATAAGCTCGTGAATATCAACCGTAAGTGTCCCTGCATCTGGACGCTTATTAGGATCAGCATCACAACACCGCTCGGCAAGTTTCTTGTATTCCTCTGGTGCGGAATCAGGCATCGATGGTCGTAGTC